GAAACACACTGGAGTTGCTACTTTACGGTGGTATTCTATGAGAGCTTGGGCTATGCCCGGTTGAGCCGGCCCACTCGAGCTGCAATCATAATATATGCTACCACGTATAACTAGTCTCTTTCTATTAAAAAAAGTCCGTAAAATATGCGAACTTAAATGTCAAGTTACCCTTACACACAAGGATTTTCTCCTGGTATCGTGGAGGCAGTTTACAAACATAAATTGCACAAGGTCAAACATCCAGACCAGGAATTCAACAAAATTTTCAAAAAACAGAACAGTGTTCAACAGTCGCGCTTACGCCTACTAGATCAACCAAAGCAACGTAGACAAGTCCTGCGATAGAGTCCCGCAAAATATTTGATTTTAGACCATTCAACCTAAATTTAATGCACCCGGCATGTCTCTAAAACTTCTGCTTTTTTAATAGAAGGTAGTAGTAGTAGTTGAATCAAAAGTAATGGACGGCGACTTAAAAAATGCATCCCGTATTTTATTCTCAGATGACATCCTCGCTCCTCGTAATGTCGAAACTCTTGAAGGCCTTCGTCAGAAACATCCTTCGGTCAATCCTTCCCAGAATTTACCGCTGCCTCCTAATACTTCTATGCAACCATTACAAGTTTCCGAAAAAGACACTTTAGACGCAATATTGTCATTTTCGAATGGCTGTGCCGGCGGAATTGACGGGATTACGCCTCAGCATCTCAAAGACCTTGTAAGCGTATCTGCCGGTGACGCCGGTAGGGTACTTCTTAATGACATAACAAAATTATGTAATTTTATGCTTTCTGGTAATGTCAATCCCAATTTCATTCCCTACTTATATGGGGCAAGATTGTGTGCCTTCAAAAAAAAGGATAACGGTATCCGTCCTATTGCTGTTGGTTCTACATTTCGACGCTTAACTTCAAAATTAGCTTGCAGGCACATAATCTTAAACCTTAAGACAAAATTTCAACCTACTCAACTAGGCTTTGGCACCACAGGTGGCTGTGAGGCGGCGGTACATTCGGTGCGTACTATCTTAACTAATTCCGATGCAGATGTTCTTCTGAAGGTTGATCTTAGAAATGCTTTCAACTCTATTGATAGGATAACCCTGCTGAAAGAAGTGGCTAACAATACCCCCGAAATATATCATTACGTTTGGCAATGTTACAGTCAAAATTCAAACTTGTTTTATCAAAACCATATTATTGAGTCTGCTGTCGGTGTTCAGCAGGGTGATCCATTAGGTCCAGCTCTTTTCAGTTTGGGAATTCAACCTATTATTTCAAATTTAAAATCCAAGCTGAATGTCTGGTATCTGGACGACGGTACACTGGGAGGTAAAGCAGATGACGTCCTCAATGATCTTACTCATATTTTTCAAAATTTTAAAAATATTGGTCTTGAACCAAATAAAAATAAATGTGAAATATTTATTTCTAATAATTTATCTAATTCTAAAAGAGATACCTTAATTCAAAATTTCAATCAGATTTCTCCAGGAATAAAAACTGTCAATTCGGAATCGCTTTACCTGCTTGGTGCTCCGTTGTTTTTCGATAGTATTAAACCTGTTTTAAAAACAAAATTTGATCAATTTTTAAATCACGTTGATAAATTATATATTTTAAACCCCCATATTGCCCTTACTATTTTAAAATATTTTGTCCTTGTACCTAAATTTACATACTTGTTACGCTCAAGTCCAGTCTGGAAATGTTCGGATATTTTAAAAGATATTGATAATAGTCTTAAAATTGCTTTAGAAAACATTCTAAATTTGAGATTAAATACAATAGCCTGGAATCAAGCCACTTTACCTATCAAATTTGGTGGAATTGGTATAAGAAATATTTCTAGCGTCGCATTGCCTGCTTTCCTTGCTTCCGTGCATAGTGTCAATGACCTATGTAACACAATTTTAAATAATAAAGTGGACCTATGCTTTGCTGCGGAGGCAAAGTAAATATGGCTAACGCTCTGTCCCGGCGAAAATGTCCCACTGGAAGTTAACCAACAAAAACAGTGGGGTATTCCGTTGGTACGGAGTGTCCACAAAAATTTATTTCAAAATTTCCATATTCAACAAGATCAGGCTCGCCTTCTAGATGTTTCGACTAAGGAATCTAGCCACTGGTTACATGCTCTACCATCAAGTAATCTCGGCACATTGCTTGATGGGGAAAGCTTGCGCATCGCCGTAGGAATCCGGCTAGGAGTGGCTATTTGTCAACCTCACCAGTGCCCCTGTGGTAGCAGCGTCGATGAGTTTGGGCTCCACGGACTTTCATCCCAAAAAAGTGCAGGTAGGTTTTCCCGTCACGGTTCCTTTGAACGAAATCATCCGAAGGGCTCTTGTCTCTATAAATATCCCCTCGGTTTTAGAGCCTTGCGGGATATTTAGAGACGATGGCAAGAGACCCGACGGTATGACTTTGGTCCCTTGGGAGAGAGGTAAAGCCCTAGTGTGGGATGCTACTTGCGTTGACACTTTGGCGGCCTCTCATCTCAAGGGTACCTGTTGTAGAACCGGGACGGCATCAGAGGCAGCCGAATTTAGTAAATGGCGCAAATATGAGTCTTTGAGAAATGACTACATATTTGTGCCATTTGCTGTAGAGACTATCGGTCCGTGGGGTCCACGTGCAATGAAGTTTCTAAAGGAACTGTATCCACGACTGGTCGTCGCTGCTGGTGATAAGAGGGCTGGTTCTTTCCTCGCTCAAAGGCTAAGTATAGCTATTCAGCGAGGAAACGCAGCCAGCGTTCTTGGCACTATACCACGGGGAGCAGGTCTTTTTGACGATTTAAATTTTTAGTTTTAGGTTTTCTATATTATAGTTTCTTCTTTTATATTGTATATATAATTAGTTTTAATCGTAAATATTATAATTTTAATTATTATTTTAGTTAAGTTCTTTATTATAATGTTAAATATTATATAAATTAAAGTAAATTCAGTACTGGCCCGATTCCATAATGATATTAAAAATAAGAAATTAGTCAAAATCAATTATCGTGTAAGTTATAGAAGGTTAACAATAACAAATTCACAAAGCTATTCGCAAATAGTGGTCTTTTCGCTGATATTTGAAATAGACCCTCATAGAATACTAAAGCAATCTTTAGATATATAATTCTTTTGTAAAAACAAAAAACCAGTCACGAGTTTGGGTGTTCGAAAATGAGTTAAAGCCAACAAAAATTGTTCGTTCACGGAGTGTTGCAAAAAAATGGTGGCCACGTTTGTCTCCAAAACCGGCCATGTTACCACTATTCCTCATGAGGGACAAAGAACGGTTAATGCAGAATGGTATGCTAGCATTTGTTTGCCACAGGTCGTTTCTGAACTCCGTAAAGAGAACTGCAACCGCCGCATCATCCTCCATCACGACAATGCGAGTTCTCACACCGCACACAGAACAAAAGAGTTTTTAGAGCAAGAAAACATAGAATTATTAAACCATCCGCCGTACAGCCCCGACCTAAGTCCTAATGATTTCTATACTTTTCCTAAAATAAAGAATAAATTGCGTGGACAGAGATTTTCATCACCTGAAGAAGCTGTGGACGCCTACAAAACGGCCATTTTGGAGACCCTAACTTCCGAATGGAATGGTTGCTTCAATGATTGGTTCCATCGTATGGAAAAATGTGTCAAATTTCGCGGAGAATACTTCGAAAAGCAATAAATACATTTTTAAATAGTAATGTTGTGTCACTTCCTTGATTCCCGAAATTTTCAGTGCGACCCTCGTATTCCATTGAAGTTGGTTTTTAACTTAAGGAATATATGGAAACTTGGCTTGCCTACATTTTTGTCATAAAATTATTAAAAGAAAAAACTGTAATATAAAACAACTTTTAACAAAACTTAAATATAAATTACAAATGAAGAAAGTAATTATAGTTTTATGACTACAAAAAATTTTAAAAAGCGCCATCTAATAAACTTTAATTTAAACTTAAATAGAACTGTTTAACTACGATGTTATTGTATTTCAAACACAAAATGCAATTACTTAACATACTATATAATCATATTTATATTAAATTTAATTTCTATAGCCTTTTAAGAACAAGAAGCAATTAATTTTAAAGCAATTAAGTGAACATGTAGTACGCTCTCTTTATCGGACTTATTGCCACTATACCTACTTTATAAGCTTTAATTATGAGTTTATACCTTTGGTATAAACAATATTTATTCCGTATGTATCATATATAGTAAAATGAGTATAAATAACATGTTCCGTCAGCCAATTACAAGAATCCATTTTAACCTAGTATATAGTCAGTAATCTATGATTTTAACTATACATAATATGTGTTTAATTACTTACTACAAATCAAATCTGAACATAGTTATTTTAGTTATACTTTACTATAATATGTACTATGTTCTTTTAGAATGAAAATTGTTAATAATAAAGTACGTCAACTACTGAAATTTATTTCCTTTTTTTATATATTTAATTAAAAGTTTTACAAATGACTAGTAATTTGTTTTAATAAATTACCTAAATAACATAAAGGTCGAAATATTTTTCAATAGAAATTAACAACGTTTTATGAAAAAAGCTTTAAAATTATTTTTATAATGTATTTTATCTTTTCAATTTACAAAACACATTTCGCTTCAAATTGTATTTTAAAAGTTGACACACTGATAAAAGTTATAAAAATATAGCTTTATTGAATACATTTTTTTTACTACTGCTTTTTCTATAAATAATTGAAATATTTATCCTCAATTCCCAACGTTTAAAATGAAGTATAAATATTAAATAATTACTATATATTGTCATTTAAGATTTTAAAGAAAATATATGCTATAAAAAGACATGAAATTATTCAAAATTCCCCAAATTAAAAATACTACGTCACAACCGTCAAGAAAGTCTGTCTTTGTCGGCAAAAGTATAAAGGTAGCCGCCACTTTGAATCGCCGCTCATTTGCTAATCGGTTGATTGAGTGCGCGCGCGATTCTTGAATGTGATTTTATAAAATGGTGGAGCAGGGGCATCAAATGACATTTAAATTATTGGACCTCATGCGGAAGACAGGGTATCCCATTGTTCAGCACAATGGCCAAAGGAAATTCGGACCGCCTCCCGATTGGACTGGGCCACCGCCACCGAAGGGTTGCGAAGTATTCATCGGGAAACTTCCGAGAGAGATTTTTGAAGACGAGTTGGTGCCTATATTCTCTCGCGTCGGTAAGATTTATGAAATGAGACTGATGATGGACTTTTCAGGATCTAACAGAGGATATGCCTTCGTGACTTACGCTACTAAAGCCGAAGCGTCTGCCGCTGTGAAGGAGCTAAATGGTTACGAGATTAGCGCCCGACGGTACATCGGAGTCGTGAAATCTGTTGATAACTGCCGCCTTTTTGTAGGCGGTATACCGAAGACAAAAACCGAGGACGATATCCTTCAGGAACTCTCGAAGCGTGTGTCGGGAATCGTGAAAGTGATTCTATACAAGAACGGTCATGACAAAAGACTGAACAGAGGTTTTGCTTTCGTGGAGTTCACCTGCCACAGGGCGGCAGCGATGGCGCGACGTGCTTTAGTACCGGGACGCGTCAAGATTTGGGATCAAGAGGTGATGGTGGACTGGGCTGAACCCGAACCTGATATTGACGATGACCAAATGAAAAAGGTAAGTTATTTCTTATTTAAGCTCGTTAATATGTTGCATTGCGTTTACATCCAAACTCATATAAGCAATTGCGAATGAAATGTTTTTGTAATGTCGCTAATTTTTGTGCGCATTGCTCAAATATCCAAGTGTATGTACACTTGGAATAAATCGTAATATACAACCAGTGTAAATACTGTTCAGTGTCGAACTGTTTTATAATGTTAATTGATGCTTGCAGGTAAAAGTTTTATACGCGCGCAACTTTCAAATAAGTACTACCCCAGAAACAATTAAATCTATATTTGAATCTGCAATAAATGGCAAAATAGGGCGCGTTAAAAAAATATATGACTATGCATTTATACATTTCTATGAAAGAGAGCATGCTGAGCTTGCTATGGCGAAATTACAAAATGCTGATATTGATGGAAGCATTATTGAGATAAGATGGGCTAAGCCAGTTGATAGGGAGTTGTACCGAATACAAAAGCTGAGCAGAGGCAATGCGAAATTTAACAATAGTCTTGACCTTTCTCAAACTTTAATGCTTTATAAACGGCACTTGGATAAAAAGGAATATGCAAATTCTCCTAAAGAAGATGAAGGCATTGGGTCTGCTTGTGCAGGAGAATCTCCTTGTTGTTCACCAATGGACTCTAAAGCCACTGGATGTCCTTCTATTGCACCTCAACAGAATTACACTTTGGCTCCAGTTAAGCTTGATGCAATGTGCAAGAGGTAATTTTTTTGTTTTTTAATTAGAATATGGTGACAAATGAGAATGTAGTTCAACTTGTGTAAGTGGATGCTGTGGCCCATGGACTTCATACATTTATCCTCTGTTACGAATTAGAATGCGGGTGTTAGTCACCCCTGAGGACTAAGATGGAATGTCTCATTTCCAGTAAAAAGGCTCTCCAGTTCACTACAATCGCCATACAAAACACAGCAGCATTAAGCTACTATTTATACACTGGTATTTTGTGAGCGCTTACTTTGTGCATTAATAATATTTGTATAATAGGGGCGACCTATGCTTAGTATTTGATTATAAATATAGGCATTTGACATCGTGGGTCTATATTTCGGAACTTTTTTCTAGGTGAACAAATTTTGAAGATTTTTATTTGAAAACTGGTGCTTTTCATGTGGTCCCATATTTAGTTGACTTTGACTACATTGATGTTTTCTTTTTATTTTTATTGAAGTTGGTTGTAATTTTTTTTTAATTTTATCAATTGTATGTCACCATTTTTATTGAATTTAACTGAATTTAATTTGTAACTTAAACGGTGGTCTTATTCTTTTAAAATAAAAATATTGGAATTAAGTAGTTTTGAGGGAGAGTTTACAAATATTGGTGCACTATAACTATTTTACATGTGGGTTTTAAAAATGTTTTCATTTAAATTTTAAATATTTCAGATATAGGTGGAATTTACCAATTTATAATTATCAAAAGTATGTTGACCCCACTGGTGCTGAACTATGGGTTTGTACTGTGGAGCTGCCCCATATTGGATTGCCATTGTTGACAGTACCAAGCCGAATAGGACCCCTGCGAACAAGGCCCTGTTACTCTATTGAACAAGCAAATGTAGAAGCGGCAGAGATTGCACTGCATGCTATTAAGGTACTATAATTTTTATTGTGTATCTTTTATAACATCAATAGTTCAATTATCAACTGCTTACCATATGTATGCAGTCCATGGATACCTCAAGTATTAAGAGAGCACTCTGATGGAGGTGTAGACCTCTATCTCTTCACTTTCACAGTAGAAGGTACAGAAATAACCAAGAACTAATTTGGCTCTACCTGGGAAACATTGTCAGAACCATGCTTACAACTACAGAACCACTAAACAAAGCGGTAATTTTTCAACCAACTTAAAAAAGAGAGGTTCTGAACTCCTACTATATTTTTTTGTTACGTCTGTACTTTTTTCTAGGTGAACCGATTTGAATGATTCTTTTATTTGAAAGCTGTGCTGCTTCTCATGTGGTCTCACATAAATTTAGTCAAGATCTGTCTAGTAGTTTTTGAATTATCCTTAATGGTGCATATTTAATTGACTGACTATTAAAGTTTTCATTTTATTTATATTGCAGTTGGTTTACTAATTTGACCAATTGTTGAAAAACATCTTAGGACCCTGCAAATTTCATCATCGGTTATCGGTCCACTACAAAGGGACTCCTTTCAGTGGGGTAGTTGATTTTATGTTATTAAGGTATTTTATTTTAGGTCCCCTTACAAAAGTATGTAATGCAATAATTTAAAGGTTACTTATATATTAAATAGTTTTAATACACACTGTATTAAAAAATGATTTTAAAAACTTAAGTTTAAGAAAAGTTCAACACAATATTCTTGAACTTTTCTACTTTTTATCTTTTACGTTTATATGGCAGCATAGTTAAATATCTTTTCATATTACAGATGTTGCGTGCAGATGTTATCCAGCAGTCTACACCAACTCCTGTTCAGCCAGCCTATACACCAGTTCTACCCTCGATTCAGAGCTGTGTGGGTTTTTCCTATGACTACATTAATCCCATATATCAAAGACAACCTACCATACCTGTTACAATACCTCTTTGGAGATAAATCTGAAAAAATATGAAATTTATTTCTAAAACCTTGTTTTCATAAATCTCTACTTCATTGTTAGTGCAATGGAGTTAAGATTTTAATTTCTCGATTCGGACAAAATTTTATGCAATAATTAGATACAATGTTGCATTGTATTAAATTATTGATATTGCCTAGAAACTAATCTGTACTTCTAGGGTGGTTGGTTAGTTGTTATTTGATTTGTATGAATTATTTGTAACAGATTATATTGATAGGTATAATATGCTACTAGTTTAGTCTTATGACTAAAAAATAAGATGACTCAAAAATGTTTATCTGAAGCACTTCTGTTGATTTAATTAAAAATAGTTAAAAATTTAAATTATTTTAATAAGTATTTAGATAACACTTGACCATTATCATTTAATTTTAGTTTTGATGATTTTCATTATTATTTCATTTTTAATTTGTTCTAATTTGACTAGAAGGCATTATTTACATATGTAAAGCCGCCTTTAAGTGCTTCCTTGTGCTTATACTCCAGTATATTCAGAGAGAATGCACTTTTTTTTTTAATTTCTGTTATATGGGTGTACCGTTATAGCTATATTTTTGTGTAACCCTTTAGTTTGACAAATACATTGTTTAATCGGCGACTTGTATTTTTATTTTATTATATAATAAAATTTTAAATGGCGTTTATGGACATGATGCAATGTCTGTAAGAGTAGCACAAAGTTGGGTCAAGCGTTTTCAGTCGGCGAATTTTGATGTCAAAGATACAGCTAGCTCTGGTCGTCCTCGCAAAGTTGATGCGCGTTTTTGAAAAAGTGGAGCAAGATCGGCATATTAATGTGTATATATATAATTTTTTTATTATGTAATGTACTGTTCTCGGTGCAATTTACTGTCCACCAGGAGTTATTATTTTTGTGACCTTGAATCTGCTCTTTTTTTCTATCGGCTCTGATTATCAGCACTTTAATTGGCGACTTCAATACCGATATTCTCTGTAAATCTGCGAGGTCACGTGAATTGTATACAGTTATGAACTCCTTTAATTTGTCACTTCTTCCTCTCGACCCCACAAACCACGATCTTGATACTGCTGATTCTTTAATAGATTTAATAGTGGTCGCTTCTGAAGACCATGTCGTTGGCCATGGTCAACTCTCCGCCCCTGGGTTTTCGCGGCACGATTTACTGTATATTTCTTATAGGATTAAATGTCCTAAGGTCAATCATGTGATGGTGCATCTGCGTAATCTAGCGAGACTTAATGTTGAAGAACTTCAGCAAGATGCTTGTAGTATAGATTGGAGTGATACTTACAGCGTAGGTGTTGACGAAAAAGTAGCTCTTTTTAATTCAAATATACAGAAGTTGTTTGATAAACACGCTCCTCCACATAAAGTCAGACTGAAACGATCTCCTGCGCCGTGGATTACTGAGGATATCTGCAGGGCTATGGCAAAGCGTGATCGAGAATTTAGTAAATATAAGAGTAATCGGTGTACTGTTAACTGGACTCTATTCAAAGCCGCTAGGAATCTGTGTAATCAGATGGTGCGGGCCGCTAAACGCCGTTATATTCATCGAAATATCCTTAACGCTTCTATGGCTAATTCGTGGAAATTTTTAAAATCAATCGGGATAGGTAAACCTGCTTCTAACTTTGATCATTCAATATTCCCTGTTAATCAACTTAATACATACTTTTCTACTGCACCACAACTGCATTCGTCGATATCTACTACTATTGCCCATGTTAATTCTCTTCCAAAATTTTACAAAAGCTCTTTAAATTTTTCTCCCGTTACTGATGAGTATATAAAAAAGTCAATTTCTTCCATCAAGTCCGCCGCAGTAGGCTCTGATGATGTGAGCAGAATCATGATCAATCTCATCCTCGATTATGTCTTACCAGTACTTACCCACATAGTAAATTTTTCATTAGGTACTGGGGTTTTTCCTTCACTATGGCGAAATGCTTTTGTTCTCCCACTTCCAAAAATAAATAATCCTAGTTCTGTTTCTCACTTTCGTCCTATCTCTATTCTTCCTTTTTTTATCAAAAGTACTTGTAGCTGTTGCTCACAGACAAATTTCTGACTACGTTTTTAAAAATAACTTTTTAAGTAGCTATCAATCAGGTTTCAGGCCAGGACATAGTACAACAACAGCCCTGCTTAAAGCTACGGAAGATTTACGTATAGGTATGGAGGAGTCAAAATTAACTGTGTTAGTTTTAATAGATTTCTCAAACGCTTTTAATGCTGTTGATCATGACATCCTTTTTACAATACTTTCTCACATTGGTTTCTCATCAGCGCGGGAATGGTTCGCATCATATCTTCAGGGACGTCAGCAGGCTGTTCGCGTAAGTCCAGTTATTTCTGACTGGTGCACGCTGGTTGCTGGCGTTCCTCAAGGCGGAATTCTCTCACCTCTTTTGTTTTCAATTTTTATAAATCTCATTACATCTCACATTCGCTGCACGTACCATCTCTATGCCGATGACTTACAAATATATGCTCAGTCTGATGTTAACGATATCGAAGATGCGATCACTGAGCTAAACTCTGACCTCACTCGTATCTCTGATTGGTCTAGCAAATTCGGTATTACTGTTAACCCTACCAAGTGCCAGGCAATTATAGTTGGAAGTGGCCGTCGCTTATCTACATTGGATTTTAATTCACTGCCACCTGTAAATTTTAATAATGCTGTCATACCTTATTCAGCTATTGTTTACAGTAGCTGAATAATCTAGGACTCTAGGACTTATCATTGACAGCAGTCTAAGTTGGCGGCAGCAAGTCACGGAAGTAAGCAAAAAAGTTATCAACACCTTGCGTTGTCTGTATCTACTCAAGAATTTTCTTCCAGTGAGAACAAAGGTAATGTTGGTTCAAACGCTCGTATTACCAATACTAGATTATGCAGATGTATGCTATGCTGATGCCTCTCAAGAACTTCTTAACAAACTGGATCGTCTTCTCAATAATTGTATTCGCTTTATCTTTGGCTTACGTAAATTCGATCACGTCTCTTCATTCCGTTCTCAGCTCAAATGGCTGCCTCTTCCACTTCGTAGATCTTTTAGAATCCTTTCTATGCTATTCTCTATTTTACACGATCCGTTTGTCCCTGCATATCTGAAATGCAAATTTCAGTATCAGGGCGATTCTCACAACCGATGTCTTCGTTCCGCGGAAAATCTAACTCTTCATGTTCCTTTCTGTCGCACGGGCTTCTCTTACAATTCTTTCACTTCAAATGCAGTAAGACTCTGGAACATGTTACCCAGAAATATAAAAGAAGCAAAAACTAAACCTATCTTTAAACATTTACTCTGGGAATATTACTTAACGAAGCAGTAGTAATTTCGGATTATAATAAAAAATTTAAAAAACTTCGGAAACTGTTATATTCTCAAGTATGTATAATATAAAAATATCATATTTATTTATTGTGTATGTATTTATTGTGGGTATTTGTGTATATATATAAAATAATATTGTATGCATGTAAGTAGTAATGTAAATGTATACGTATGTGTATTCTTTATTATATATAAGGAAAAAATACAAAATTATATTATAATTTTGTATTTTTTCCTTAAACCTTTAATTTTTCTTTAATTATGAGTTTTGCACCCATCACTAGATTCTCTGCACAAACCAAAGGTAGACTGGTAGAGATAATTATTACTGGTATTTTAATTCTACATACCTCAAAAAGGAATTTCTACACTCCTCAAAAAGGAATAACTCGGCAACATGCGAGTATAAAAAACAAGTCTCCTAGAGTCAAAATTATTAATTTTTTATCTGAGCAAATACTACTTATGTCCAGCACGCCTAAGTCGTCTATGTTTGACCGCTAGTGTTGTAATGCGTTAGGCATCATCTGGTAGCATCAGCATCATATCGAACCCCCATTGCCATAAGAGCGTAAGACTTCTGTGCTTCACTTGGCCTACGTCTCCCCCGACACAATCAAATATTTTGAGTCGATCTCTGTATATTTTGGTTAGATCGATTTCGAAATCGATACAAAACGTGCGACACTGCTACATCTCATGCTGCGGCTACACTAAGGAGAAATGCTGTTATAATTATCGCGTTGATAGACGTTGAATGTAGGTGTGGCCACGAATTAACGCGATAATTTAACGGCATTAACAATGCCGTTTCCCGTTTGGCGATAACTAGTGGCGGTACATCAAAGGATTAACGCGCGAATTACCGCGTTGAAGCGGCCACACTACGTTTGTCTCAGGCCGGGACTCCACCAAAGCAGAGATGTGTGCGGTGTGCTGTGAGCTGTGCGAGAAGAGATGTTTTTCAGCTCGGGTGCGAGGCGTTGAGTGCTCAGTACGTATTCTGACACGAAAGGTAGACGATGTCGCTATTATTACAAAAAAAGTATCTTCTTTTACTTGAAGAAGAAGACCTACAGTCTGAAGAAGCAGAATTGATAGCTTTATACTACCTAAACAAAAGAAAACATCGGTTTTGGAGAAGAAGTCACTTGAATTACCATACCAGTCATGGAGAATTTTTTACTCTGTTTAATGAGTTAGATGATGAAAGTTTTACCAAGTCCTACAGACTACCGAGGAATATATTCTACGAACTACATAATTTAATTAATACATAATTTAATTCTCATTGTGCACGGTAAGTGCAACGGGGTTGCACGTATGGCTGCGATGGAGTGGAGTAATGAAAAGGCTTTTCGAGATTGAATTAAAAAAATTAAATCTAAAGTACTTTAATTTACGATATGAAACTAAGAAAAATAAGCAGGAGAAAAAAAAACTATTTTTGCAGGTCAAAATTCATAGTGTACAGTGGTACGAAACCCTGGGAATGTGTATCAAATTCGCACTTGACCAGTATTTATGATTGGCTTATTACCTTATTAGTTATTACTTCATTAAAATATATTTACGTTTGTCTTATTATTTAGCTTAAACCATTGGACATCTTTCTAGTGCAATTTGGGGGCGGGAAAACAAAATAAAA